AATGCACCTGCAGTCTTCCAGGGGTTGGTGAATGATGTTCTGCGGGATCTTCTCAATATCTGTGTTTTTGTATACCTGGATGACATTTTGATTTTTTCCAAGTCAAAACAGGAGCATGTGGTCCATGTTCGCCTAGTCCTCCAGAGGCTCTTGGCGAACCACCTCTTTGTCAAGGCCGAGAAGTGTGTGTTCCACACCACAGAAGTCCCGTTCCTGGGATTTGTGGTCTCCACCGGAAACATCAAGATGGATCCTGAAAAGACCAAGGCGGTGACTGACTGGCCACGCCCTTCAACACGCAAGGAGCTCCAACGCTTTCTGGGTTTTGCCAACTTCTACCGGAGGTTTATTCGAAACTACAGTTTGGTGGCCGCTCCTCTCACAGCTCTCACCTCTCAGAACATTCCCTTCCGGTGGTCCTCGGTGGCCGAAGGGGCTTTTGGTGAGTTAAAGTCACGCTTCACCTCTGCTCCTATTTTGATTTTTCCAGATTCTACTCGGCAGTTTACTGTAGAGGTAGATGCGTCGGACACTGGAGTTGGGGCAGTTCTTTCTCAACGGTCGGCCGAGGATCAGAAGATGCACCCGTGTGCCTTCTTCTCTCGAAAGCTGTCCCCAGCGGAAAGGAATTATGACATTGGAAATCGAGAACTGTTGGCAGTGAAACTTGCCCTGGAAGAATGGAGACACTGGTTGGAGGGAGCAGAGCAGCCTTTTAAAATTTGGAGTACATCCGTTCAGCTAAGCGGCTGAACTCTCGTCAAGCCAGGTGGGCTCTGTTTTTCAAACGCTTTGATTTTTCTCTTTCACACAGACCTGGTTCTAAGAACATCAAACCTGACGCCCTGTCTCGCCAGTTCCAGCCAGAGAGCTTTCCATCTCATACTGAGAATATCATCGCTTCTACATGTGTCATTGGTCTGGTGACCTGGGAGGTAGAGGATAAGGTCAAGCGCGCTCATGCTGAACACCCAGCCCCAAGTGCCTGTCCTGTTAACCGTCTGTTTGTTCCTGACACTCTCCGTACCCAGGTTCTCCAGTGGGGTCATAACTCTCGCCTGGCTTGTCACTCAGGAGTGAGACGGTCCCTAGCCCTGATTCGACAGCGATTTTGGTGGTCTTCCATGGAGAAGGATACCAAGGAATTCATTGCTGCTTGCCTAGTCTGCTCCCAAAATAAGACTTCACGCCAAGCTCCCTCCGGTCTTCTTCATCCCTTGCCTATCCCTCATCGTCCCTGGTCCCACATCTCCTTGGATTTTGTCACTGGACTACCACCCTCAGACGGTAACACAGTCATACTCACAGTCATAGACCGGTTTTCCAAGTCTGCTCTGCTTATTCCATTAACCAAATTACCTACTGCCAAGGAAACGGCTGAAATCATGCTACAACATGTGTTCAGGCTGCATGGTCTCCCCAGTGACGTTGTCTCTGATCGGGGACCACAATTTACTTCTCGTTTTTGGTCCGAGTTTTGCAGGCTGCTGGGAGCCAGTGTCAGTCTCTCGTCCGGATTTCATCCCCAGTCCAATGGTCAAGCAGAGCGAATGAACCAGGAGATGGAGACTGCCTTACGCTGTCTAGCCTCCTCCACTCCTTCCTCCTGGTCGAGGCAGCTTCTATGGGTTGAGTATGCCCACAACACCCTTCCTAGTTCTGCTACTGGTCTTTCTCCATTCCAATGCTCCCGCGGATACCAGCCACCCCTTTTCCCGGCACAGGAACGTGAGGCCAGCGTCCCATCTGCACAGGCGTTTGTAAGCCGATGTCGACGCATGTGGTTAAAGGCCCGCTCCGCGCTCCTGTGCTCTTCCGACCGTTATCAACGGACCGCCAATCGCCGTCGCAAGCCAGCTCCACAGTACTCCCCAGGGCAATGTGTCTGGCTCTCCACACGGGATCTCCCTCTCAGAGTTGAGTCAAAGAAGTTGTCTCCCCGTTTTGTAGGCCCATTTCCCATAGCTAGGGTCATCAATCCTGCAGCTGTCCGCCTGCGTCTGCCCCCCTTCTATGAGGATTCATCCTACCTTCCATGTGTCCAAGATCAAACCAGTTAATGTGAGCCCTCTTCAGCCCCCCTTTAGACCCCCACCACCACCCCGGACTATCGACGGGGAGACTGTTTACACTGTCCGTCGCCTCATCAAGTCCCGGCGACGTGGTAGAGGGTTGCAGTACCTGGTACACTGGGAGGGTTATGGCCCTGAAGAGCGTTCATGGGTGCCTGCTCGCAGTATCTTTGACCCATCTCTCATTACTGACTTTCACCAGGCTCATCCCGATCAACCACGTGGGACGTCAGGAGCCGTCCATAGAGGGGGGGGTTCTGTCACAAGTTAGACACTTCTATTATTGTTTGTTTGGTGGCTCAACTAAACTCTCCTGTCATTTCAGATCCCGCCTTCCTCCAGGCCCTTGTAATCAGCTCACTTCCCTCACCTGGTCTCCCCAGCCCTTCCCCTCACCTGTTACTCATTCCCTCATCACTCCACAGTATTTATATCACCTCACTATCACTTGTCCTTTGCCAGATTGTCTTGTCGTTTCCGCCAAGCTCTCCAGTGAGTGTTGTATTCTAGCCTAGATTTTTGTCCTGCCCGGGTTTTGATCCCTGCCTGCCTGTTTATGGATCTCGAGTTCCTGCCTGCTCCCTGTCTGGTTTTGGTTGCCTGTCTGACGGATTTACTGGTTTTGACCCTGCCTGTCCCTGACCTGAATAAACTGAACATTGCTATACACTGGTTGTATCTGAGTCGTGCTATTGGGTTCTGATCTGTACCTGTGATCGTGACATGCTGAGAACAACATCAAGCCACTTCTGCTAAGTTTGATGAGGGAATTCTTTTTTGTTTCCATTAGTTCTTCGTGAGATTGATCCTGTTGGACTCAGTACTACTGAAACTACCCCCACAAGTACTATGAAGTACTTATTGTGTACTTTTCCAGTAATCCCCTATCAATGTCCCCTCCCGACTACAAGAATGCATGTTTTTCTTTTAATAAGCGTTAAAAAGCATTTCTTCCTGAGACTGATATTGTTGGACAGAGTATTTTAAGAGGATGGTGGACATGGTAGACTTTATATACATATGCCATCTTTAATACCTGTAATATATACTGGGCTGCTAAATCCTAAGAACTGCTACAGGATTTGATTTGTAGATTTGATTTGTTTTTGATCTGTATTTTTGAAAATTATGTAACTTTTTTAGTTTTTTATCTTTTTTTTTTAGCATATTCCATCCATCCATCCATCTTCTCCCGCTTATTCGTGGTCGGGTCGCGGGGGTAGCAGTTCCAGCAGAGAGCCCCAAACTTTATTTTCCCTGGCGACATCAACCAGCTCTGACTGGGGGATCCCAAGGCACTCCCAGGCCAGCGAAGAGATATAATCCCTCCACCTGGTCCTAGGTCTACCCCTTGGTCTCTTCCCAGCTGGACGTGCCTGGAACACCTCCCTAGGGAGGCGCCCAGGTGGCATCCTAACTAGGTGCCCGAACCACCTCAACTGGCTCCTTTCAACGCGAAGGAGGAGCGGCTCAACTCCGAGTCCCTCCCTGATGACCGAACTTCTCACCTTATCCCTAAGGCCAGCCACCCTGCGGAGAAAACCCATCTCGGCCGCTTGTATCCGCGATCTCGTTCTTTCGGTCATGACCCATCCTTCATGACCATAGGTGAGGGTAGGAACGAAAATGGCCCGGAAGACAGAGAGCTTTGCCTTCTGGCTCAGCTCCCTTTTCGTCACAACGGTGCGGTAAAGCGACTGCAGTACCGCTCCCGCTGCTCCGATTCTCCGGCCCATCTCACGCTCCATTGTTCCCTCACTCGAGAACAAGACCCCGAGATACTTGAACTCCTTCACTTGGGGTAAGGACTCATTCCCTACTTGGAGTGGACAGTCCATCGGTTTCCTGCTGAGAACCATGGCCTCAGATTTGGAGGTGCTGATCCTCATCCCAGCCGCTTCAACACTCGGTTGCGAACCGATCCAGTGAGTGCTGAAGGTCGCAGACCGATGAAGCCATTAGAACCACATCATCTGCAAAAAGCAGTGGTGCAATCCTTAGTCCACCGAACTGCAGACCCCCTCCCCCATGACTACGCCTCGAAATCCGATCCATGTATATTACAAACAGGATTGGTGACAAAGCGCAGCCCTGGCGGAGGCCAACCCTCACCGGAAATGGGTCCAACTTACTGCCGAGGACCCGGACACAGCTCTCGCTTTGGGAGTACAGAGATTGGATGGCATATTGTTTATTATATTATAACTTAGTACTTTTTTAACGCATGTAAGATATGCAACACTAAGCTGTCTGTGGCTCTTTCCTGCTGTAACGCTGCAAATGTCCCCTCTGTGGGACAAATAAAGGTATTCTGATTCTGATTCTGATGATATCAGCACTACTTTCAGTCAGTACTCCGGCAGCAGCATTTTACACCTTGGAAAGTCTTTAGAGTCTGGCTGGTCACAAATATCCTTCAGCACACTGACACACTATGTCACTCTGGTTGCCCTCTTATGATGCTGCTGTCTTTTAATATATAATTATTTCTCTGCCGCTAGTTCGTTCCTCACAGATTGGGGTTAAGTATATATATATTTGAGAGAGAGAGCTCTGTTTTCCAGCCTGAGTCTATTTAATTTATTGTTTTGGTTGTGTGATTTAATACATTTTTATAATTTAATGTATTTGTTTTATTTATTATATATAATTTATATATTTGAATATTATTTCATTTGCAATGTTGAATGTTCAATAAAAAGTTATGTTTGAAAGGATGTACTTGAATTATTATTATATATTATCATTATGTCAGTGGTCTAAAATGGTCTTACAACAGTGCTGACAAGTGGGTTCATCTCCAAAAAATGAATCCTTTGACATTTGTTAGATGTAGATGGAGCCAGGCTGATCTTGGATAGGAACAAATCATGTCATGTTCTTACATGAGGCCCATTGTCATATAAATGATATCTATTCTCTCTTCAGACTGGGGGGCTGCAGCTTGTTGGAGAGCAGCTGTGTTTCTCTGGCCTCAGCTCTGAAGTCCAACCCCTCCCACCTGAGAAAGCTGGACCTGAGGGACAACAAGCTGCAGGATTCAGCAGTGAAGCTGCTCTGTGATCTTTTGGAGAGTCCTGACTGTAGCCTGGAGACTCTTAGGTCAGTAAAGGGTTAAAGTTATTTGCCTACAAAACTCTAGAGTCGTTAACACTTGTCCAGTGTGTGAAGTTACTTTATCAGTAAAAATGATAGAGCAACCAGCAGTTGCAATAACGGCTGGTAGCCAGGATGGCGATTGTTGTGTGCGAAGTGTACAGCGTTCCAAACTACTCTTTAAACGTTACTCAGATTGCACTGCCTTTCTCCATACTTTGCATTGTACTCAAATCAGTTAGTATAAGTGTGCGATTGGAGACACAGCATTGTTCTAATTTAAATAACTATAATTTAGTGCTGTCAAAATTATCGCGTTAACGGCGGTAATTAATTTTTTGAATTAATTGTGTTAAAATATTTAACGCATTTAACGCATGTGCAGAATGGCCCGCCCCATACGTGCCACCAATGGCAGCGCCAGGGTGTGGCTGGGTAGGCTACACCCATACCAAGAAATGGCTCCACCATGAAAAATGATGTTAAAGTAAGCAAAATAAAGTCTGCCAACTCGCGCGGAGTAAATTGCACAGATAGCAGTTAGTAAGATTGATTTCAGTAGCCACGGTTTTGAAAACTTTTGTCACGTAGTGATCGTCTTCTCAATAGAACATCTTTGATAACGGCGTGGTGTTGTTGCAGGAAGTCCCGACGGAGAATACTTTTGCTGTAGTACAGGGGTGCACATAACTGGTACGCAGGTTATGTGCGTAATCTGAAATGCTTTTCCAGAAGGCGGTTAGATCACCGGACGACAGAGTCGGTCTCCGTGTGCACAGACAGGGCTGCTGTTAACGTCGGTCTGGAACGGTAACGGAATTGTGCCAAAACTACGCCAACCGGCTGCGGAGGGAGACTCCCCCCCTTCACTGGAGAACTGCGCTAAAACAGCTGATCACAACGTTCACACTCTGTGGTCACGAAGTACTCCACTAGCCGCCGCCGCCGCCTCTGTCGACTTTCCTGAAGTACTCCCCCGTTGATAGAAATCAACACGTAATGAATTAAGACCCCACGGTTTGATGATTGATGTGTGGGTTGTCTTTCATTTTGACACGCAGAAATGTTTTATAATAAACATACTGTATGTTAAATGGATATATACGCCTTCTTTCATTTATCTTTCCATTCCCACAACAATATACATAAATAAATGGCATATTTTGGACATAGTTCGAATGGTGATTAATCATGATTAATTAATTTTTAAGCTGTGATTAATCTGATTACAAATTGTAATCGTTTGACAGCCCTACTATAATTACATTTAACAAATGTTTGGACTTTGTACATAACAACAAACCCCTTTTGCTGTAGTCTAAGAATCCAAAGTGTTACTTTTCATCTTTAAGAGAAGGCATTAGAAATGTTTGTGCTTGTTTAATTTATTTTGCCCAAATAATTTGACATTATCTTTGATGTTATTTAGCTGATGCTTCTATCCTAAGCGACTCACTTACTCCATTACTGTAATGGTAATTGAAGTGTTCCAATGTCCTATATTCCTGTTGCCATTAATACAAAGATGAGTGGTGAAAGTGATATCACACAGACAACAGCAGATGTTCTTCTCTTCTTCTTGCTTCTGCTTTGGACAGCTTAACAGCAGTAATTCCATCCTTAAAGAGCCGTGAATATTTCTCTGTTTCTGCATTAATTATGTGTATTTCCATTTCGACTTCAGTCTTAAGTCTCTGCAGGTCTGTGAGGGTTGATACATGCTAATGAAGGGAGTCGATAAACACTGATTCATCTCTTCTTCTCTTACCAGGTGGAAGTGATCTCACTGAGGAGTGAGCGATCAGAAAGGGTGAAGCCTGAGAGGAACGGCTCTCCTGATGATCCAGAGATTGAAGCATCTCCAGCTCTGACTGAGCAAGGATACAAGTGGACATCTCGAGTACCTCGCGTCCGGCATTAGAATAAGTCTTTGACCACATGTGATCGGATCTCCCTTCCCAAAAAATACATAATGAAAAGTTGATTTTGTGATTTTGTGCTTAATTTTAGGTTTACTCATAAACCATACATTATTTCAGAAACCTGCAATAATAAAAAAGTGCTTTTTGTACATCCATAGTGTCGATGGAAAGTGACGTGTGTAGCCTAAATTGTTTGAATGTTTGTATACATTTCATGAACCTTAAAATATAAGGTTATAGTCTACTGATGGTGGTAGACAAGTACCGGGAACCTCCATGCATCCTGCTTTTCTCGGGTGTATTGTTATAGATTTAGGTGAAATTCAATCAATAATCAGAGGAGCCCATTGGGGTAACAAACCCTGGATCTCTGGATCCACATTTGATACCATTATATAATTGATACGTCTGTCTTTTCAAAATGTTGATAACGTTTTGAAATTAATCAATCAATTGCTGATTTAGTTTATATTCTTAGATACGTTGTTGATCACTAAAGAATGTTGTGCTTGCAGTACTTAGTATAGTAAGACAATGAATGTCTCTGCGGACCTACTCTATTGTTTGACCAATCCGAACACTATTTGAAAAAACATGATATCTAACAAAAATGTCTGTCATGTTTGGTAGTAATTAGCATGAAGATTTGTGGAGATAATTGAGGAATTTGGGCCTACAACCAAACGATGGGGTTCAGCCGTCATCTGAATGACTTGAGTCTCTCTCTACAGTTCAACCTTCACGTATGAATGAGTGTAAGTTCTCAAACTATTTCTGGTTTCTAACAATTCTACTATTATCGTTTGATGTTATTTCAATTGGAAAATATGTTATTCTTATGGCCACAAGCCTTATGATATGGATACTATAACTTCAGAAATGTTCTGTATCCAAATATTGTTTTTATTATCTTTCTCTCATAACGAACTGATGTTCGTTACGTAGAAACAGGACAAGATGTCTTACTGTGAAGGTAAACTTATGTTGTTGCAATGTTGAGGTAGAATGAAGGAGTCTGGAACCGTCGTTAGCCAAAGCACTGAGAGTTTTATTGATCACAGTACATTAATTACATACGGCCGGGAGATCATCTTAGTTTCACACTGTCCTGTGCTCCACCAAGATAATCTCTGCCCCAAAGCCACAAAACATCGCTGCTACACGAGGAGAGGCCGGCCCACAGAAACCCGCGTATACCTAATTAGCTATTAAATGCGAGACAATAATCTCCTTGTCTCAAAGAGATGCAGCTAGGTCTCAACCCTCCCCCACGGATATAGGAGAAGCGTTTGACCTGTGACCTCAATTTACAGAGGAGTCCTTGAGTGACTACAAGCAGATGTTTGCAGTATCACAGATTCTAAGAAACAATAAGAAGCTCTATAAACAGATCAGATTAACATATTCTCTTACAGATTCACTCTTTTTATCAATCTATTGATAACCAATTAACATTAGTCTAAGAATATTTCAGTCAATACTTAAAATCAATAGGCGTCTTCAGAGTTGGGTGGGCTCAGATACATTAATTACATTAAAAATAGAACAAGATTGAAAAACACTTCAATCACCATGATTGAACACAGTCAATCATAATAAAAAATCATCTCTCTTCAGTGCTTGGCATCTTTTGTCAAAAGGCACAATAATAAACACATGGGATACAAAATATTACAGCAAAATATATGTTTCAAAAATAAGATCTTTTATCATTTATCACTCAGTTAATCTCATTCATCAAACACAAATTCTAAATCAGCTTACATCTCAAAGATTTACTTTAAGGCAATTACTTATTAAAAAACACAATTAGAATTTAGGATTATAAGAAATCAATTGAGGTATAATTTAGGATTATGAGAAATCCAATTGAGGTTCCTAGTTTAAGGTATAAATTCACAGTGATGAATCGATCAATCTGTAATCTGTAAAGTTACAGTGTCCTCAATCTTTAACATTACTTTACGTTTACTTCATTACGCTTTATTCAAGAGTAAGGCACTTAGTAATACATTTATTTCATTCAAATACACTTGTTCAAAATCTGAAAAGGAAAATCAGACATTTTATTTGTATAACAACCTGAAAAGGAAAAAATCAGACATTTGTCCTTTAATCCAGTGTATCAACTGTAATCAATTATCAAAACATCTGTTCTTTATTCAGAATATCAACTTTAAACAACATCTCAATCGCTGAATGGAGGTACCCACGGGTCGGAGATCACGATGGAGACCCAGGGGTCCGGAAGCTCGGCATTGTACATTAATATTGTGTCCTTTACAGTCGAATGTCCAACTAGCCTTTGTGGGGCCTGGAGGGCAGTCTTGGCAACCCTTCGTATGGCTAATTTAAACCACAGTGATCAAACAGATCACTAGGATCAGCACAACCAAGATAAACACTGAAACAGTAACAACAAATGTAACCAGCCCCGCTCCCCAAGATCCAAAAGTTCCACTTAATTCCCCAAATGTAAACCCATGAGTTTCATGCAATTCTTTTATTCCCCTGGCAGTATCATGAGCCATGTCCATAACTTCAGGTGTGGCATCAGATATGAAAGAACAGCACTCACTTCCTATCACCTTGCATGTTCCTCCTTGGGCAGCTAAGAGGAGGTCAAGCGCCATACGATTCTGTAGTGCTACTGTCCTAACTTCCTGCAATTCTTTGTGTTCAGCTAACATCGCTGTGTTGGATACATTTAGATGATGTTCTACAACTTTAGACAATGCGACAATTTCCTGCTGAGTAACATAAATACCGTACCAAGGCAAGAATAGGCTAGCTATCTGTTGTCCTTGTGTAATTGACCTGCTGTTCCTGTGTAGAGAGGGAAGTATTGCTGCAATCTCAGTAGCCTCTACTTTACGGATTAAAGGGATTAGGTAGGCTAGATAACAGGTACCATAAAAAACGTCATATGGCACACAGCCATAGGCCCGGTCCCCACAAACTAAGTAAACTCTCTGTGGGAGGGGAATTCTGGGCAAATTTACTCTCACTATGGTATTACAGTCGCTGTGTCCCACATCAGGAGAGGTGTGAGATCCTACTGCATTCTGGAAGCAGATGGACACATTCTTCCATTCATGCACAACAATTGGGGGAACATATACTGAGCAGTCACGTGTAGGGGGCTTGCCTAAGGGTACTGGCTGCGTACAGTCATGTATTTTAACCTCAACGGAGTCCACTGTTCTAGAGCCAAACCAGGGCACAACTGTTACCAAAGCTTCAACTAACAAAGCGGGTGTGTGTGGTTTGTAGAGTTATATTTGTATTTATTCATGTTAGCAAACTATGGATAAGGTTAAAATGAGAATAATTTGGGTAAAACTGTGAGCTGGATTTGGGGCCTTTTGACATGTGTTTTTGAGGACAAAGGAAGATGGGGGAAGGTGAGAGCATGTCTTGATTTGCATTCAACTTATCTAGCTACAGTGGTTGGGGAAACCTAAGGTCGGAGGTGTCTGTGATATTTGGGCGGCCAATCAATGAGCTCCAAAGGGGAGGATCTGATAACTCCTCCCATTGTCAAAGAGTATAAACAGACACACACGCGGTGTTCAGCCTCTTTCCTCTGGCTGGCTCACGTGCAGGTAAATTCGGGATCCCAGGGATTAACTGTGTTGAATTTGTACTGTATTGATTGTATTGTATTGTCATATTATCATTAAAGTAACGGTTATTTGGTAGCTCTGGATTCCTTCCTGTATTAACCAGCTTGATAGGGACGCGCGGAGATTTGAAAAGCGGATCAGATATCCCTTTTAATCTCTAACAAGTGGTGATCCGGACGTGCCAGATATAACGAAGCTGAGGAAGAATCCAGACGACCGTAATGGGTCGGGAATAGGCGTTTCACAGTGTTTTTAAAGTTTAAATGGAATATACAATGCATATTTTACTATGTTAGGAAAGTTATATACAAAACGTAAACGTTGATCGCCAGGTAGACGGAAAGTCCTGCGTGACGTAAATAGAGCAGTTTGGCGCGGATCTGCAGGTAGTTTATTCCTGAGTGGCGTGGAGACGGTGCAGTTTTGTGGGTTGCGAGGTTTGATTCCTGCACGACAAAAACCTGGAAACACGCAGGTAACAAAGAAGTAGTGGCCAAGGGGCTACTGTGAAACCGAAGAAGTTGACCTGTGATAATGAAACCATTTTGTAATATTTTAACAGACATTAGAGTAACTGAGGTTTGAAATGTAGAAAGAACATATTACAGTTAAAGCTAAAACATAGTAGTGTATTGAGACAGAATTTAATTTAGACAACATCATGTAACTAGCCTGGTAAAGAAGTAAAAGCCATAGACTTTATTGTTTAGGTCATTATGGGGATATACATTTCATCTAAATTTATAATAGAAAGACATTTGATGACAGTTTGTTGGAATTCTGTATTCATTTTTTCAGCGTGATAATATCTAAGCACTGACAGGTAGAAGCAGTATCACCAGGAAATCATTCACTTTGTTAGTATCGTGATTTTGGTTGTTTTTGAACCCATAACATTAGTGTGTTTCTTTACCAGAAACATTAGCAGTTCATATTATATTTGGATTTTAAATAGGATTTCATTTAAGAATAACACAGATGCTTGTCAGAAATTCAGAGCTATTGAAATATGTTATTTAGTTTACCTAAAGATGTTGAGGTTCTTATTTAGTTGGCACAATCCAAGTATTAAGATTCTGAAGCTGCACTGGCAGATAGGAGGTCTACAATTAATTTAGAAAACCTGTTCACAGACGGCTGTTGTTTCAAGACACCCCACCAACAGGCTCCAAGTGGGTCAAAACAGCTGAGCGTAGGCTTGAGGGAGTTGTATCAGATTTCTCCACACAGGTTGCTGGCGCCAAAAGGGGGACCCGAGAAGCACGAGGCCGACACAGCAGAGTTCGTCTGGCTGAAAGTCATCAGGACAAAGTGGCTCAACCCCAGGCTCTCCGGCACCGACCGAGTGATCCAGCGGACCTCTTATGCCGTCTGCCTGGGAGAAAAGGGGGACAGCTCGTACCACGGGAGCCAGTGTGCGGCGGGGAAACCACCTACTAGGACCAGGGGACGACATCAGGACGGACGTGGCCCTGGCAGACGTGGACTACTCGGAAGCAGCGGACTGGAGGAGCAGGACCCTGGAGACATCCTTACAGCAGACGACCCGGGAGGCATCATCAGCGGGCCGGAGAAGGAGGATCGGGAAGACATCTCTACAGCATCGACCCGGAAGCCGCCATCAGCGGGCCGGAGGACGAGGAGGAGGAAGACATCTCTCTAGCAGGCAGCCCAGAAGCTGCTGTCAGCGGATCGGGGGGACAAAGACACGGCAAGCCAGGACGGCACAGGGGACTTGTCGAGGCAGCAGAGGAGTCTACTTCTCTCTGATCAGTTCTACCCGTGAAGGGAAAGCCGCATCTCCCCCTCCCTATTAGCTGTCCTTGTGGGCTATTCCTCCGAGGGGGGGGGGGGGGGGGGGGGGGGGGGGGGGGGGGGGGGGCTGATGATTCTAGCACTCAGCTACCCCCCTCATGGTTCCTTCACTGCCATGGAAAGTGGTGTTCTGTCTCCATGAAGGTTTCAAGTACTCTAAATACCAGCTT